ACACACGTTAACCTATATTAGCATGCATATCAATTTCTGCACAATATATAGTTACTTTCGATGAAGGTGCAACAAACTAAATTTTCTTTGAAATTTCTTTCCGTTTATTCATAAATAAATAATACGTAATGTGTATACATATTTAACTCGAATCAGAATAATAAACCAGATTTGATAATGCACTCTTAATTTTCACAATCTTTAATATGTAAATGCAATCCCCAGGAATATATTTAAGAGGTTTAAAATATTCGAGGCGCTCTCTATTGAACGAGTGTCATAACACTGAACACCTAAACGGCTCGAAAATATGATCTACTGCATACAATAAGGAAATCTATAATCACGACAATATCACAACGAAATTTTATCACAGACAAGGTGTGCATGTGTATTTACAGAGCGAGGTAAAGCGTTCGTTATTAAAGTTGCAAATTTACTTCGCAGTGAATCGAATATGATACGCCTGTTGGTTGAAGAATATTGCGCAACCATAGGAAAGACGCGATGCGCAGGACACATTTAAATCTGTAATAACGCAAAGACTTACCGTATCTCCGTGGAAAACCGTCAATGTCCTTTTGAATTTCGCGGCTTCGATGTTTCTCTCTCAATCAAGCAACAATCTATATAAAATACATTTACAAATGAAACAATGCTCAAGATCAAATGTTACTTTGAAAACTCATAGTTCGGGCTACCCTTAAACGTAACAATCAAAATGGCGGTTGAAAAAAAAAAGAAAATATTACAATTACGAAAATTATAACATTTGAATAAATTACAAAGTAAAAACGTACCTTAATCAAACGAAATTAATAACAGCGTAATGACGAAGCGATGTGAATGATGAAACGACGGTGATGAAAGTGTTACGCAGTTAATAAATGTCAGGTAGAATCACACGTCTTGACACTACGATTTCAAACACTTGACTAACCCCCTGCGCAACAGGTACGCGTCGCGAACTAATTTGATGAAGTGGGGAGGCTCGAGCGCGAATGAATACGATTCAAATAATTTACGAAAAGAAGAGAGCATATTTCTCGTACACATTTATACACGTTTGCACGCACTAATATGATTTGGTTATATCAATTTATTATGTATTCTCAGTTTCGTTATATTTCGTTTTGATATGATTCTATGTATTAAAAGGTTACTTTAACAGAAGTTCCGATCTATTTTATAAAATTTTTATCATCGTATCCTCGTTAGAACAAATAGAATAGAGAAAAGAAAGTTATGGATTTAATTAATTAATTTTAACAATTACAATTAATTATTTTAACAAATAAGATTCGTGACACTGAAATGCTAGCACCACGTAGCGGTGAAATGGTAAAAACTAATCGCTATCTCTATCCTTGTCGCACGTTGCTGTTCTCCTTCTCTCTCGGGCAACATATATCTATCCTCATCTCACATTATCCCTCTCTTCGTTTATGAATAGTATAGATGCTGCCATCTATTGGATTTTTCTTGTGTATTCTTTCGGTTCTAATCCAAAAGCACGCGTCGGTAGTGCGACAAAGACAGAGTTGATTAGTTCCACCCAATGTGGCGCTAATGCTTCAGTATCCATAAATAGACCAAATTTTCATTTGCAAGAAAAATTAATTATCAAAATTATTCGTGAACATTAAGCTTTTTAGTAATGTAAAAATATCCTTTCTGTCTTTAATAAATGTAATTGCTTGTGGATACATTATATTGTTACAAACTTACTGTAAAACTCACCAGCCACATGAATCTAGGAACTTTTTTATATGGTTGTAACCGTGTATAATTAATGTTATTCATGATTGTAAACAGAATGTTTTGATTATAACCTATACTACATTTCAATTAAAATTTAAAAGAAAAAATATTCTTTGTAAATTTAATATATTAATTTGTTTTTTATATATGTTACAAAATGTCAGAATTTGAAGATCTGAAAAATGCTATTTCGTGTTTAAATAAAAGTGTCTCAGAGTTTCCAATCGGGGCTGTCTCCATAGAAGATTTTAAACCAATTGAAGAAAAAATTAGAAATACACGAGAATCGTTGAAACGTCTAAATGCAAAGTTATTAACACTTAAATCCCAGTATGACTTCTGTATGTCATAAAGCTATTGTATGTAAAACAAATTTCAATTGTGTCAACATTATCTTCTATCTTAATTTCAGATGCAACGGATGAAGAACCAGAGGGAAATATAAAAGATACAGTAACAGATTTACATGAAGCAACAGCAAATTCTCTTATAAATAATGCAGTGGTTAAACTATGTCTTCATTCTTATACTATTCAAGCTATTTTAGAAGGCAAAGAAAGCGATAATGATACGCTAAGGTATAAAGAATTTAAAAATTTAAGCTTCAACACTTAAAATAAATATTTAATTATTTCAATATATTTTCAGAAAAATTTATGCATATATGAGTAAGCTTTTTAGTTTGAATGATAATATTTTGTTACTACAAAATGAAGTAGAAGATGCGTTAAAAGTGCAATTGCAATTAAAAATTCAATGCCGTAATGCATTATTCAAATATAAAAATTTTTTAAAGGAACAGGAGGAAATACGTAACAAAAAACTACAAGAAATAAATCCTGAATTAGTAAGGTAAGTATGTATGCTTAATGATAATATTAATGAAATGTTTATTCAAATTTTAATAAATATTTTTAGAAATAAAGAAAAAACAAATAAAACTATAAGAAATATTAATCTAATGAAGAAACTAATTGTAAATTTTATTGCTGCTTCTAATCACATGTTATTTAAAAAACCATTTTTTGTAAAAATGCTAGAAGAACATAGAGAGTTGATTAATATTGAAACAGTTTCAAAAATGTCTCAAAATAATTCAGAAAACAAAGAAAATGAAAGCTATACTCAAATGAATGATATTTAAGTAACACTTTATATTATTTATTGTTTTTATACTTTTGTACTTGTACTATATTTTTAATGCAACAATTTTTATATAGATTTCAAATAAAACATACTACAGTATTTTTTAAATAAGAACATTTTTACTATTATTAGATACAAATTTTTCAAATTATATCATATACCAAACTGATAATGACAACAATCTAAAATATTAATACTTCCTTTTAATATTTGACAATAAAAATCTTGTTTCGGGTCTTTATCCACGAATATTGAAATGATTGCAAAGAATAGGAAATCTTTAAAACACGTTGTGTATCATTTTTTTTTCTTTTTCTTTTCTATAGAAGGAATCTGTATGAAATGAAAATGCTTGAAAACAAAATAAAAAAACTTAAAAATTAGGTCTTTTGTATTCTCTCTATTTACCGCATATTAGTATAACTTGAAGCTTTGGAAACGAATTCTCTTTTTATGATATGCGCTGAAAAAGAGAACAAAAGAAGCTCGAAACGTATAATCAAGTAGTCAAATTGCATACCATCAAAATGAAAACATACAAGAAATTCAGTAAGAACATTTTTGTTTGACTAAGTGCGCAGGCACAACGCTTATTTACAGGAAAAAATTTTCGCGCAATTTGAATGTCTTTCAAATTCTATTAAAGCGATTTCTCGATCAGACGGTTTTATGTATATATACATATATATATATA